CCTGGGCAGGGGAGGGGCGTGGGCGGGGCCTCGAGGACCCCTGAGCTCAAGCTAGAGGGCCTCGGCCAGCCTGTCCTCCGGCGGGGACGCGGGGGCTGCCGAGCTGGGAGGGTGGACCAGGGAGTCGGTGGTGTCGCCCGCGCTGGGGGCCTAAAGGTCGGTGTGTGGAGCGACCAGACCCCCCGCGGTCGCTAGGCGCTTGGGAGGTGCACCCTCCCTTCCAGCGCCCTGCTGCTCCCCTAGGGGCCCTAAGCCCAAGAGCCCTTCAGTGTGGGTGCTAAGCTCATTCCTACTCTGAAACTGGAGACAAAGAGAGGAGGAAAGTACCAGAACCCCCCGCCCCTGCACACTGCACACATGCATGTTGCACAGCCGACCACCAGGTGGGCCGGCAGGCAGAGCCCCTTGGGGCCGGGGCTCCTGCAGGGTGCTTGTGTCCCCATGCCAGGTGGGCACAGGGTGCTTCTTCCAGCCACAGCTCCCTGTGTGCTAAGTCCAGGGCCTCTGCCGGTCTCTGTGCCTGCCTTTCCACCTTCCCCTGGCCGGCCTCTAGGCCAGGCCTGAGGAATTGAAGGGACAAATCAGGATCCCAGCAGGAGGCTATGTGTATGTCTGGGGTCGGGAGGAAACTTAGGCCACCCCGAGAAATCAAACCCAATGCTCATTTTTCCTGGCTGCAGGGTGGCAGCACTGTGGGAGGCACCCAGGATGCAGGGAGCCAGGCATGGGCCCTGCCAGGCAGTAAACAACTCACCCAGCCAACCCAGGGACAGGGTGTGCCGAGTACTTTAGCAGACAGGCCCTAGAAGGGGACCAGAGATGTTTCTGTGACAAATGGCTGGACTTCAAACGTGTTCCCCCCTACCCCTGCCTGTCCCCATCCCCATCCTGTCCCCAGCCACATGCCTCTGCCGTTTTGGATACCCTCTCCCCAACTGCCTTCTGCTTGGGGACCCCAGCCCCTCCCTCCCGTTCTAGAGCTTGGGGGAAGGACGTTAGGGTCCAGCAGGAAGACTTGAGGGAGGATGGGGCTCCAGAATGTGGGACTGAGCCAGGGCAGACTTCCTCCTCCAGAGCAAGTATTGGGGGCTGTGTGAGCCTTAGGGAGGTGGGTGGATCAGAGGGGAGTGGCTCCTGGAAGAGAGACTGAAAGTATCTGCCAGAAGTCAGGGCCTCACCTGTTAAAGGCCAGGTGATCTCAGGGGTCCCTCCCCCCTTTCCTTGAACACCTGGAGGGGGTCTGGGCTGGGGACCTACCTTTGCTGATGCCTGTCTGTCTGTCCTCCCTTCTCCCCCATCCACACCTTCTCCCATTTCATTGTCATCCTTGCATCTGTCTTTGGACTCTCTCTGGGTGCCATCCTACCCATCTGTGTCTTCTTTGTTTCCTGGGCTTCCTCCCTGGCTCTCATCCTTCTCTGCCCCTTGGGGTGTCTCTCTGCACTTTCCTGCACTGGCTTTCTGGTCCCTTTTCCTGACCTCATGACACCCTCTGGGTCGCTTCTGCATTTATCTCTGGTCTCTGGCTCCCATCTTGGCCTTTTGCTTTCTCCCCATCCCTGTGTCTCTGCCTCTGCCCCTCCATCCCGCATCCATTTCTCCGTCTCACCTTCTGCTCATCCTGGCCCCTCCCTTCCTGTCTGAGCAGCAGCGACCCATCCAGCCCTCTTTCACCAAGTCCCTCTGCCGTGAGTCCCACTGGAAGTGCCTCCTGCTGTCGCTGCTCATGTACGGCTGCCTGGGGGCAGTGGCCTGGTGCCACGTCACCACAGTGACCCGCCTCACCTTCAGCAGCGCCTACCAGGGCAACAGCCTCATGTACCATGACAGCCCCTGCTCCAACGGCTATGTCTACATCCCCCTGGCCTTCCTGCTCATGCTGTATGCTGTCTACCTGGTGGAGTGTTGGCATTGCCAGGCCCGCCATGAGCTGCAGCACCGTGTGGATGTGAGCAGCGTGCGGGAGCGTGTGGGCCGCATGCAGCAGGCCACGCCCTGCATCTGGTGGAAGGCCATCAGCTACCACTACGTCCGCCGCACCCGCCAGGTCACCAGGTACCGCAATGGAGACGCTTATACCACCACCCAGGTGAGTGGCCATTCAAGATGGGAAAGAACCCGGTGTGGGGTGGGGCTGGAGGTCAGTGATAAGCTCACAGCAGCAGATACAGAACCATACCATCAGGAATTCACATGTGTGATGTCATTTATTTAAGCCTCATAACAACTCTGTGAGATAGGCACTGCCCATTTTACAGATGAGAAAACTGAAGCATGGAGAGGTTAAGTATTGTCCAAGGTCAAACTGCTGGTATATGGAGGTGATGGCTCCGAGTGTAGACTGTTCAGGGCTGAAAGGCTTATCTCACAGCATGTGCACACCTGTTGGGTGAGGCAGTGATCATCTGGTTCCCTTTCATGTAAGGAGACCTCAGCTCAGAGACTTGCCCAAGGCCTGCAGTTCCTGAGTGGCTGTCTACCTGGTGGAGTGTTGGCAATGCTAGACTTAGACCTAGATCCTGGAGCCTCATCCCAGGCTCCCTGAAGGGATGGATGTGGGGGGCTTTATGGGGAGCTCCCAAAGCTGTCAGCACTTCCAGGATTAGACCAGCTGGATCCTGGAGGAGATGTTGCCAGAGGTGGTGGCCTCCTGCTATGTGGGTAAAGCGTGTGGCTGTGCAGGCAGCCAAGGCCTTAGCAGGAAACGAGAGAGGAGAGCTCCTTTGAAGCCAGCATCCACTTGGAAGCATAATAGTCATAGAGCAGAAGAGGGGCCGTGATGCCTGAGGAGCAGTGAGTCAACACAGGCAGAAGTGGCCAGGGATCAGGATAGCCAGAGGGGGCGTTCATAGCCAGGGCCCGACCCCAGGGGAAACAGCTTCATGGAAATGAGCATAAACAGGTGGGGCTGGGTTCTGATCCCATCTCATTTTTAATGCACTGGTCGAGCTTCAGGTCTCAGTTGTAAAGCAGATGGTGACATCTTGTGGGGCTCCAACGGGTACCCAGAGTGGGACAGGCTCTTGGGCAGATGATCAGGCAAGAAAAACAGCACTGGGGTAGGTGGGGGTGGACAGAGACCCCAGCCCCCTCGCCTGCAGGTCTATCACGAACGCGTCAACACGCACGTGGCCGAGGCCGAGTTCGACTATGCCCGTTGCGGCGTCCGGGATGTGTCCAAGGCGCTGGTGGGGCTGGAGGGTGCGCCAGCCACGCGGCTGCGATTCACCAAGTGCTTCAGCTTCGCCAGCGTGGAGGCGGAGAACGCGTACCTGTGCCAGCGCGCTCGCTTCTTCGCGGAGAACGAGGGCCTGGACGACTACATGGAGGCGCGTGAGGGCATGCACCTGAAGAACGTGGACTTCCGAGAGTTCATGGTAGCCTTCCCGGACCCGGCGCGGCCGCCCTGGTATGCGTGCTCGTCGGCCTTCTGGGCCGCAGCGCTGCTCACGCTGTCGTGGCCGCTGCGCGTGCTGGCCGAGTACCGCACCGCCTACGCGCACTACCATGTGGAGAAGCTCTTCGGCCTCGAGGGCCCGGGCTCGGCAGGCGGCCTGAGCCCCGGCGATGAGCTGCTGCCCCCGCTGGCGCACCGCCTGCCGCGCGTGGACACGGTGGACAGCACGGAGCTTGAGTGGCACATACGCTCCAACCAGCAGCTCGTGCCCAGCTACTCGGAAGCGGTGCTCATGGACCTGGCGGGCCGCAGCGCACATGCACGGGGCTTCACGCCCTCCTGTCGCTATGGCGGTGTGGGTGGCCCTGGTGCGGCCCCGCTGCGTCGCAGCTGTGAGCAGTGCCAGCGCGTGGCCAGCAGCTCCTCCATTTTCTCGCGCAGCGCGCTCAGCATCTGTGCCAGCCCACGCGCAGCCCCAGGTTCCGGTGGGGGTGTGGGGGGCGCGGGCAGCCGCTTTTCGCTGGGCCGCCTCTACGGCTCGCGGCGCAGCTGCCTGTGGCGCAGTCGGAGCGGCAGCGTCAACGAGGCCAGCTGTCCCACGGAGCAGACGCGTCTATCTAGCCAGGCCAGCATGGGGGACGACGAGGACGATGACGAGGAGGAGGCTGGGCCGCCCCCGCCCTACCACGATGCGCTCTACTTCCCCGTCCTCATTGTGCACCGACAGGAGGGGTGCCTGGGCCACAGCCACCGGCCGCTGCACCGCCACGGCTCCTGCGTGGAGACTTCACTGTGACCCGGGCCCCCGGATGGGTCCACGCGTCCCTCGCTGGACTGTGCCCCGCCTGGAGCAGGGGAGTGCGGCAGCCTGGGGTCACCCAGGCTGGGCGGGGAAGGAACGGGACAGGAGGGTGCTGGAGAGACCTCACAGGGCGGAGAGCCACCCGCCTTGGACATAGAGACAGAGGGTGGGAGGGCGTGGCTCCCCAGAACCCCAGCCACTCCCACAGTTCATGAAGGCACACCCCCTCTCCACACATCAGATGTCTCCTGTGCAGCCTCCCAGCGGCCTGACTGTTAGTGGCAACTATGCAGGGAGTTGGGGGAACTCGGGCCGAGCCTCCCCTGGAGAGTGTGTCGCCTGTGGGCAGCAGGAGGGTGTGGAGATACAGGAAGGGCACCTGGGACTTTCCTGACTCTTGGGACCTCTCTTGGGAACAGCAGGGATGGCTGCCACCCAGCTGATGCATTCAGTGGGTCCGAGGCCAGGGCCAGGTGGCAGTCCCAACACAGTCCCCTCACCGTGGCAATGTGGCTGTTCTCTTCTTGTCATTGGCCCCAGAGCTCTGGACTTCCTTCCTCCCTCTTCCTGCACTGTTGTTTGTCACTTGGCCCCAGGAGCAGGTCCTGAGGGACTGTGCTCATGGCACCAACGTCACTCACCTCTATCCTCTGGGGGCAGGGAGCCTCTGCCCTTTCTGGAAACTCTGTAGCCTCCTCTCTGGGTTCCAGTGGGCCCTGGTGCCACCTGGGGGGCTGGCGTTAAAGCTGGCCAGGGTGAGTGACACATGAGATACACCTGGATGACAGGTGGGCGCTGGGGCACAGAGGGCAGTGAAGGGCGGAGAGAGAGGACCTCTGAGGGTGCCCTTGCCTCCAAGACCTGTGGGGAGGAGTGGCACAGTCTTGCCTCTGTGGGCTGAGGACCTGGTCATTGGCCCAAGCTGGAGGAACGCTCGACTCCAGTGGCAGGGCCTGAGACAGGAGTTATCCAACTCTGCCAGACTTCTCCATCTCCCTTTATGCCCTGAGCAGAAGCCCTGCTGTGTGTCCCAGGGTCTTCAGAGGGGGACCCTGCCCCTGCCTGGGGGCATTGGCCCTGTCCTCTTCCCCAGAGATCCATACTGACGTTTCTTCCCCGTGCTTCCTACCACCTGCCCCGATGTGCTTGGTGTGCATGTCTTTGTACAGCCCTTTGCCTTCCCAGCTACCCGGCTCCTTTCCCAGCAGACTTAGCGCCTGGGGACCAGGCTCACATCTCAGCCTAGAGAGGATGACCTTGGGCACCCAGACACTGTGCCCCTGATGCTTCTTGCTTCTCTGCTGCCATCAGAGCTCTGCTGTTGGCCTCTCTTGGCCACTTCCTGCCGGGCCTCCCCCTGCCCGGCCAGGCCTGTACCTGTTTGGGGATGTGGCCTCCACCTATGCAACATCACTTCTAGCTCCTGCTCTCCTCAGGAGGACATGAGATGGGGGCAGACTGTGGGGACAATGTAGCCTGTGGGTCATCAGGGGTTGGGCTTTCCAGGTGCACAGAGATAGGGAGGAGAAGCCAGAGAGGAAGTGGTCTGGGCAGAAGGGCACAGCTGCCCGCCTGCCTGCCAGCTCACAAACCCACTGGGACCCTGAGTCTGTGCTCCTCCGGGCCTGGCAGTGGGAGCACCCCTTCTGGGAGGTGCAGTGGGTCCCCGTTATTATTTCACCTGTATCAACCATTTCTGCTAGGTGTGCTCACCCAGTCAGCCTCGCCTCCCACATACGCACAGACTTAGAGAGAAACCGATTCTTTGGTCTATTTTCTTGGTAGCTTTTATTGATTGCCAGGGAAAACGAATACCAGAAAATTAATTAATCTCTAAAATTAAACTTTACACTGAATGTTCTTGTTTCTCTAATTAGAACCTCTGCTAGCAGTGGTGGCCACACACACACACACACACCCTCACACTTACACGTTTGCACTCTGAAACTGTTCGAGGGTGTCAGGCACGAAGGATTTGAGGCCACCCAGACGGGCACACGTGCGTTACCCCCTCCAACCCCCTGTGGTGCTCTGCTCAGCATCTGCTTGTTGGAAGGGGTCCCTGGAGAGTGAGCACCCCTGGGCTGTGACTGGAACTCGTGACTCAGCCCTGGGGATCCTGGGTCTGACCATCAGGCCCCTTGGGCATACTGGCTGATGTGATTCCTGTGGATGTGGCTAGGCTGGGGAGCTGCAGAGTGACAGGGACTCACGCAGGGCACCTGGAAGGCTCCCTGTATCCGGGGATAAGGGCTGTCAGGCGGGCTGGGCCTGGCCGGGAGGAGACAGGTCTCTGTCATTTGGGTGCATCACACTGTGGCCTTTCTGTCGTGGATTTCCAAGCGCAAAGATTGTACAAATCTAACTGGTGGATAATAAAGTTGCGATGACTCACCGACATCCCCTCTTGCGTGGCACTTCTTACCCCCTCCAGCAAGTGTCACCATGTGTCCACAGCTGCCACCACAACGGCAGCTTCCCTGTGCCCCAGGGTCCCCATCCCAGGTGGAAAGTGGGGATTAGGAGATGGTGTGGCCTGTAGAACTGGGTCACATAAAGCAGACTTGAGCAATGGGGAGTGACATCTTAGGGGTGAGTGTGGCAGGAAGTCTGGTGTCATTGTGCTGTAGCCGCGGTGTGTGTGCGTGTGTGTGTGTGCATGCATGCATGCACATATGTGAAGGTCAAGGATTCTATCTGTAGCCAGGACAGTGAGGGGATGGAGGAGAATCATCTACGTGGGCAGCATGCATGGGAGAGATTGGCAGTCCACAGTCCCTCGGCATCCTCTCCATCTACCTAATTCCTGGAAGAAGTTGATCATTTTTTTGGTGGGGGGTTGTCTAATGACACCTTTTCTGGGCCCTGCAGCTGGGTCTGCACTTGATACCTTTCCTTCCTTACTAGGACCCTCCTTGCCTTCTGTCTTTATACATTCAACCTTTGATCACTCCCTTTGAGGGTGTTGAGTCCGCCCTCCCGTCCCTCTGGACTGGTGTGACCCTTAGCAGCGGAGTGTGTGACAAGGGCAGGGCATGAGGGACAGGGTGGGAGTTGTGATCCCTGTCTAGTCACTGCTCCGGCCCCAACTTCACCTTATGCTACAGATTTCCTATGGCCATTGGCAGTGACGGGCAGCACAAAGTGGCTGGGATTCAAGGCCCGCTGGCGGGCGGCTTCCCGGTTGGCTTGGAGGGCCTGGCTGATGAGGTACTCGCTCTCCTGGGTGACATCCGACAGGCGCAAGTCAAACTCCAAAAGGGTCTTGTTGTCTGCCACACCCTCCAGGAGCTGCTTCCCGCCATCCTGGGAGGGCAGAAGGGAAAGGGTCATGGCACATCGTGGTCCAGGTGACAGGCACACACAATTTACACGCACGGAGATGTGGCTGAGGCAGCTGCCATTAACTCTGCTGCACCTTGACCTACTGCTCATCCAGACAGCGTGGTCAAGACCCACTAAAATGACTGTCCACCGAGTGACAGTGCTCTCGCTCCTCCACTCCCACCTGGGGCCTGGGGACAAGTCTGTCTAGGGACAGTGGAGGAGGAGCTTGGAGGAGCCAGCTCTGGGCAGCTTCTCTTCACCCTGCCAGCGAATGGGGAGGAGCAGCGCTGTCCCTTCCTACCTCTGCCTGCTGCCAGGCAAGATGCCAAACTGCAGCATCTCTCAGGAGCAGAAGAGGAGGACCAGAGAGTCTGTTGCCATGGGCCAATTGGCAGAGCACAAGATGGCCCTGAATCCAGGGGTCTGCCTGGTGCAGGACCTCACTCTGGGGCTTCTGGTCATGTGAGGACTGAGTGTCCCCCTGTGTCCTGGCCAAGCTGTCTATGGCTTGTAGCAGGAGCACCCCTGTGGGGTCGACAGAGGGGGGCTGCATGGCCGCTAGTTGGGGGCCTAACTGGAGCACACAGGGACACCCTGCAGTCCTCCACCCAAACTCTTGGGGAGCGCAGGTCAGTGTGAAGACTTCCACATGGGACGTAGAAAGCTGCTGTCTGACAGATGCACCCCATATATGTATTGGGAAGCAAATGTAATGGGTCACAGAAGCATTTAAAAAAAATGAATAGAGAGCTGGATGTGGTGGTACACACCTATAATCCCAGTACTGGGGAGGCTGAGGCAGGAGGATTGTTGCGAGTTCGAGGCCTACCTGGGCTACAAAGTGAGTTCAAGGCCAGCCTGAACTGCATAGTGAGACCCTGTCTCAAAAAGACAAAAAAAAGAAAGAAAGAAAGAAAGAAAGAAAGAAAGAAAGAAAGAAAGAAAGAAAGAAAGAAAGAAAAAAAAAAGAATAGAGTAGAACCTAAAGGAAAACATCAGGCCAGGCATGGTGACACATGCCTGTAATCCCAGCACTTTGTGGGCCTGAGGTAGGAGGGTCACGGTTAGTTTGAGGCCAGCTTGGGCTACATAGTGAGTTTGAGGCCAGCCTGAACTACAGGGTGAGACCCTGTTTCAACAAAAAAAGTAAACATCAGCATAAATTACAAAGAGAAAAAGTAGATTTCAATGACATATATATATGTACATATTCATGTAGCTTGCTCCCTCCCTCCCACTACAGAAGTGAGAATTAACACCCTGAGCCCCTTTAAGAATATTTTTTCAAAAGGTTTGTGACAGAGTCTCTCTAAGTCACTAAGTTGTCCAGGCTGGGCTGGAACTCATGATTCTTCTGCTTCAGTCTCCCAGAGTGCTGGATTACAGGCGCACACTCCCAGCCTGATGTACCTTACACTTCTCCCATGACCTGGTCAAGAAAGTTTGAGAAACACTGTTTGTTACAGAGAACTCAGGCTGGGCGGCAGCGTGAGTTGATGGTGGAGTGCTTGCCTAGAAAAGACTCAGGCTGGGCTGGGGGGCAGTGGTAAACCACATGCCTGCCATGCATAAGGCCCTGGGTTTGATCTCCAACACCACACAAAAAATGAAACTCCCATTTTCATAGATAATTGTGAGGATGAAAGGGAAAGCAGCAGGTGCCGGGTTCACCCCTGGGCCCAGGATGCGTGCCTGCGTGACACTGCATGTAGTACCAGAAGCCCAAGGTCCCAACATTCCCCCTTCAGGCAGCCCGCCCCCTGCTCCTGGAGGCGTGGCTCACCGGCCCGATGCGGTTGCAAGACAGATTGATGCTGGTGAGCGTGGTGTTGACCGAGAGGACCTGGGACAGGAGCGTGGCCATGGGCTCAGACAGCTCATTGCCACCCAGGTGCAGGGTGGTGAGGCATGTGTTGGACAGCAGGGCGTGCGCTAGGGCCTGGCCACCCTCGTCCTCTATGCAGTTGAGGCGCAGGTTGAGGGAGAGAAGGTTGGTGTTGTGCTCCAGGGCATGAGCCAGCGCCTGGGCCCCAGGCGCACGCACCCGGTTGTTGGCCAGGTTGAGCACACGCAGGCGGCTGTGGCTGAGCAGCTTGGCGGCACCACGTGCCCCACGGTCCCCAATGAGGTTGTGTGACAGGTCCAGCTCCTCGAGGGCTGGGTGGTCGAGCAGACTGCGGATCAGAATGCGGGCCTTCTCGTCATCCACGCGGCTGCGGGTCAGCCTGAAGATCTGCAGGTGGACAGATGGTGACCGGCCTGCTGCCTGCACACCTTTTGTACACAGTGACAGCATGGGTGGCAGGGGGAAGAGGCTGCTATTGATGGAGTGATTACTATGGGCGGGCACAGTGCCTGCACCTTTTATAACCTCTTCCCTGACCGCCAGCACCCTGGGGGAGTTGGACAAGTTCTCCCCATTTTGGGGAGAGAAAAAGAAGCCTTAGAGAAGTTCCATTATTCGCCCAGAGTTACAGGTTTGGAATTCAGGTCTGTCTGATGCCCCGGCCTCCCACTGCTTCCCCCTACCCCTGCCACTGGTGGATGAGATTGCTCTAAGGACTGAACCCAGGGCCTTTGCACTGAGCTACATCCCCAGCCCTTTTAAATTAAAAAAAAAAAAAAAAATTTAAGACAAAGTTGCTACATTGCCTAGGCTAGGCTGGAACTTTGGATCCTCCTGTCTCAGCCTCCCCAGTGCTGGCATTGGAAGCATGTGCCACCATGCCTGGCTTGTGAGTTTCTTCTAAGGAGAATCCAAAGCCTTCATCTATTCCTGCTCTGCTCTCCGCCTTTGCAGTCGAGCTTTTGGCAAATCTGATCACAGTGCCCCCCTCCTCTCTTTTTTGGCTCCTGGCGCCTGGCCCTGGCACCCTACTGCAGTTCCTCCAGGAACTCCCAAGCTTGCTAAGTCAACCCCCAGTGCCAAGCACTCCACCCCGCCCCCTGCTACTGGAACGCACCCTTCATGGCTTGGGCACACAGTGCCAGGCCCCTTCCTTCCTGCCTCACGTTTCTGGCAGGCCACCTGGCAGTGTCTCTTGCCCCTCTTCTGGCTCCTTTGGGAGGTGTCATGCTGAGCCCACACTCGAGAATCTGGCACCCGTTTCCATGCTTTGTGCAGACCTCTCCCAAGAGCTGCAGCCCCTCTCTGATGGGCGGAAGCTGTGCCAGGACGCCTCACGCTGAAACCCAGTCCTCCTCCCATTGTCCCCATCTAGCCAGTGGCCCCTCCAACCATCTGGTCTCCCAGGCAGGAAGGCCTGATGCTTCCGGCTGCTTCCTTCTCTTCCACATCCTCCCTATGCCAGCGAGGCAGCTGATGCAATTGCTCAAGTTCCTCTCCTCCATTTTCTCTCTCTTTCCCTCTCTGCAGGCCAAGCCAAGGTGCCAGAAATCCCTGCCTTCATCTCCATTTGGCAGGGAACTCTTGGGTGAACCGCCATGTCTACAACCCAACATCATAACCCCATGCCTAAGACTTTGCATGGTGCTGTGGTTTGGATGCAGTGGCGTCCCCACAGGTACTGAGCTATATGGACCTCCAGCCCCCAGGGTCTTGAGCTAAACACCCCTCTTTTCTTTATAAAGTTCCCAGCCTCAGACACTTGGTGACAGTAACAGAAAATGGACAAATTCAGAAGGTGCCTGGAGTGCCTTCAGATAAAGCCAGACCCCTGACAAGGCCTCTTTTCTCCTAGAAAGCCTGGCCATCGGCCCTACTCCCTCGTTGCAGGCTCCACCCACACAGCCTTCTCTGCCAGGCTCTAGAATGGCCCTGTTGTTCTGCCAGGGGCCTGGATGTGCTGCTCCCCACTGGAATGGCTTCCCGCTTTTCTTATCTACCACCTGCCCCTCCTGATCTCTATGCAGTGACACTTGCTCCAGGAAGCCTTCTCTGGCAAGGTCAAATGCCCCTTTTATAATCGCACATAAGAATGTCTTTTCTTCATGGTGGTGCACACCTGCAGTCCCTGAGGGAAGTTTAGGCAGGAGGATCACAAGTTCAGAGCCAGGCTACGCAACATAGTGACTTAGTGAGGCCCATCTTCAAAATACAAGGCAAGAAAGGGCTGGGGATGTAGCTCAGTGGTAGAGCATCTCTGGCTTTGGATACACACACACATGCATGTCTTTTTTTTATTTTTTTGAGATAGGGTCTCGCTATGCAGTTGAGGCTGGCCTTCAGCTCCCTATGTAGCCCAGGCTGGTTTCAAACTTGCAGCGATCCTCCTGGCTCAGCTTCCCGAGGGCCAGCCACCAGGACCGGCATGCATGTCTTTTCTTTATACCACTCATCCCAATTAGGAGTGCAAGAAACAGTACAGGATGCCCAGGCTGGGGGTCTGGCTCAATGATGAAAAACAAACACTGCCCTAAACCAGGAGCCCTGCTAAACTTTAAATTTCAGACTGACAAATGTGTCCCATGTGATATTTGGGACATACTTCTACAAAATCATTTGCTATTTACCTGAAACGCAAAGTTAGCTGGGCGCCCTGTGTTTCAGTTGCAGAATCTGCAGCCTCCACCCCCAGCTTGAGGCAATCAGCGCCTCTCATCCTGGCCGCTCTCAGCTGCAGAGGCCGCCCGGGGTGACTGTCAGCTCATGGCTGCCTCTTCAGCACCCAGGACAGGGCCCGGGGTACAGATGTTTGCTGATGACTAAGCAGGCCCAGGGTTCAGCCCTCAGCAACAAAACCCCAAACCAAAACCAGCTCGGTCAGTGAATGGAAGGAAAACAGGAGGAGGGCGATGAGAGGACAGAGAACCCGAGGCGGGGCGCTGAGAAGGTACCTTCAGCGTGTGGCAGGCCTTGATGGTGGCTGCCAGGGAGTGGCAGTCCTGGTAGGTAAAGAGGAAGAGCTTCCACTCGAAGTTCATGCCACAATCCTTGACACCATACACCAGGTCCAGCTCCTCCAGCTGACTCAGGCCGGCCACCAGCGGGCCCAACGAGTAGTGGTCGGAGCTGGATTCCTCGGCTTCCCCCTCGCTGCCCGAGTCCGACTGGTCTCCTGCCGTGCGGGGCGTGGGTGGCAGGTGGACAGGCGGGAGGAGCTGGTCCACATGGAGGCTGCGTACAAAGGCCTTGCAAAGAGGCAGCAGGTCGAGGATGGTGTTGGGGTCCGTGGTGCCAGGGATGAAGCAGCGCAGCAGACTCTCCAGGTGCCGCTCGAAGAACAGGCGCTTCCAGCTGCCACCGTGCTGGTCCACGTGGCACACAGGCCAGCGCTGCATGCAGCAGCGGCGCCAGTAGCCCTCATCGTCAATGAGGTTGGCAGTCACGGCCAGTGGCAGGTCAGGGGGCAGGTGGTTCAGGACCTTCTGCTGGTATTCTGGGGGCAGCTGCTTCAAGATCGGGTTATCTTTGGGAGCAAAGAAAAGAAAACAGGGGTCACAGCTCAGGGGACAACATAGCACCTGGTTTTGGCAACACTTCTGCAGCTAGATGGGCAGTGTCTGGTCTTGGGGAGGATCAGTCTGTAGAAGCTCATGGGTTGTCACCTCGTTTGATAGAGGAGACAGTTGCTGACTCCAGAGCCTCCTAGTTGGATGTGATTCATTCATTTCAAACAAGTGCATCTGCAGCCAGGTGTGGTGGTGTGCATGGGCAAACTGAGTACTCAGGAGGCTGAGGCAGAAGGACTGCTGAGTTTGAGGCCAGCCTAAGCTACATAGTGACACCCTGTGTCAAAAACAAAGCAAGCAAACAAATAGCAGCAGCAGCAGCAGCAAAACAAGTGTATCTGTCTGACACTTCCTGTGTGCAGGACGCTGTTGGGAGGGCTGAGCAGAGGACGGGTAAGTGCCGAACCCTGGCCCCTCACATTCCAGCCAGCAGAGACAGAGAAGAAAAAGGTGAAAAAAGCACGTGCAGGTCAGGTGGCCATCAGTGCTGGAGACAAAACGATAGTCCTGTGTTCAGAGAGTGCTCATCAGGGTACAGGGGGCCCCCGGCCCCTCACCCTTTGTCTTCTGTGGACTGGGTTTGTGGTTACCGATCACAGGTCCCAGACCAAACCAGGAAGCCACACGTGCTGGGGCTCAGTGTGGCGCGGGTTCTGGGTGAAGTGGGGCCCTGTGGGGAGGAGCTGCTTCTGGCTGGGACAGGAGAGGCATGGGGATGTGGCGGGCAGGTGTGGGGGAGTCTGCTGGGAGCCTAGAAGTAGGGTCTGCAGGAAGCGGGGGCCCCAGCCCTGCTCCTCTCCCTGCAGACTCACCCCGGAAGTTTCTGATGATGTTCTGGATGCAGAGCTCTGTGAGGAGGGGCACAATGGCCAGCGACCACTCGGTGTCCTCGGCAATGATCCTGCGCATGCGGCGGAAGTTCGGGACGGTGTGCTTGGCGGGTACCACACCTGTGGCTGAAGTGTGAGCCGCAAGAGAGGCCCTAGGGCCGGAGGGAGACTGGCGGAGCGCGGGCGGTGCGGGCGGTGCGGGCGGTGCGGGCGGGGGCCTGGAGTCCTGCATGCTGAGGGCTGGCAACGGAGGGCCAGGAGCCCCTGTGGTGACCTGGACACAAGAAGCTGCTCAGGTCCTTGATGCTGGTGGGGACCTGGAGCAAAGGGAAGTGGGGAAAGGTGAGACTTTGGAGGATCTTATAGTGCAAAGATAGAGTAGATTCTGGTGCAAATCCCAGCGACCAGCTGTGTGGCTTTTGGCAAGTGACGAAACCTCTCTGAGCTCTGTCTATGAAAGGAGGGTAACAGTTACCAAGATTATTAGGGGGAGGGAATAAAATAATGACCAAAGGAAGCAGAAGAAATTGTCTGCCACATGAAACTGTAGCAAGCAGCTGATGTGATTCACTTTTTAGGTCAAATAGTTCTTGGTGTATACTGGACATTCTTCTATGTATATTAACACATTTATCCCCGGAAAGCCTTTTAGAGATAGTCACTCATATTTTCCCATTTTCTGATGGGAAGTGGAAGTACAGAAAGGTTAACTGTCTTGTCCAATGTCACATAACTTATAAAAAAATGTATTTAAAGTTAGTTTATGCACTCATACTTGGGAGGCTGAGGCAGGAGGATGGCAAATTCAATACCAGCCTACACTGTGCTCAAACTAAAAAATGAAAAGGACTGGGGGTGTACCACACTGAGCCTGTGGCCATCCAATGTTAAGGTCATTTCAGGTTGGGAGAGAAAGAGGGGACCAAGCATGGGCTGCCAGGGTGCTGGCCCCCTCACCTCTCCACCCCTGAGCCCTCCTGTGATCTCCCCACCAGGACCACTTCCGGTTCTCCTGGCCCCACATCCCAGGCAGCTTGGAGCACAGCAGGTATAGGAGAGAAGGCAGCTAAATCTGGGGCTGAGGACAGGGGACGCAATATGGCTGGGTCTGGGGACACCCTGCCCTGTGCTCAGAGAACTGGGGGTGGGCAGGGCTGCCTGCCCAGCACTCAGCACCCTCAGATGGCACCTGCCTCAGGGCCTTGTGGCATGGCCTATGGGGAGGGACACGGTGATCTGGGAAAGGCGTCCTTGGCAGAGGGAGGGACCAGATGGTGCTCACTGGTGCCAGGCAGCTCCAGGAGGAAGAGCCTGGCTGAGGGGGTTGGTGGCTGGGCAGTGGGGGATGTTATTCCTGCATAGTGACACCCCTTGTAGAAACCAAATGCAAATTCAGCTAGGTCCTGCTTTGGATTCAGGGCCCCATGGAGGCGCAGCTGGAGTGAGTGCTGCTTTAGTCCACACTGACTTTGAGTTTCTTGCTTTACCAGTTACCTGCTGTGTGACCTTGGCCCAGTTACTCAACCTATCTGAACTTCAGTTTCCAGGTCTATGAAGGGGATAATGACTCTTCCCTGTGTTGGGGACTTCCGGGATTCCGCTGGGATGATACTTGGTGACTACTGATGATATTTGGAAAGGCTGCTGAGGGATGGGTGCAGGTGATAGCAGCAGGGGGGGCGGGGACTTGGCCTGGGGACCATTCCCTGGGGTGAGGTGGTGGTGGTGTTGGAGGCTGGAGGCACGGCAGCATGGAGGCAGGGAGACAGGGAGGAGGCTCAGGCAATAGGCCGGCCCTGCTCCTGGACTCCTGGGCCTCCTCCTGGATGTTCTGTCAGCCGCTGGCACACTGTGGGCCACAGGGCAGGGAGCAGGCCTCGGCTTGGTGGGAGCAGGCGGGTTCCTGGTGAGCAGGTGTTGCCGCACTGTTGCCCAGCCTGCCCTGGTCAGCAGCAGCCCCTGCTCCCTCCCCCTTGGAGACCCCTCCTGGGTCAGGGAGACCCATGACAGGGCCTCAATAGCGGCCGAAGGGAGGCACAAGGTCACTCTGCTCCAGCTGTTACCACCGGAGCCCCACAAGCAGCCCCAGACTACGGGGTCTGGTGTCACTTCTTTTTTTTTTAATTTTAAAATTTTTTTTATTTTAAAGAGAATAGTAAAAAAAAATAGCAAAATACAAACAAAACAAAGCAAGGACATGAAAAATGATACAGGTTTTCAAACCAAATGATAGGGATTAACAGTGGTTGTTCTATTACATATCATTATCTTCAACAAAGTTGATCAGATTACCAGATGTCAGACTGGAAGACTGATCAAACCATTAAAGAGAATAAGAAAATAATAATTTAAAAGAACATTAGAGACAATACAGAGTTTCACTAGACAAGATGGTAGGAATTCACCAATGGTTGTTATGCTGCATATTGTCTTCACATAAGTTGCTCAGATGACCAGATATAAGCATCTAAAATTGGTCAAAGTATATATAAAAAATTTTAAGCACTAACTGCTTGTTTTTGTTTTTGTTTTTGTTTTTGTCTTTCTGAGACAGGGTCTTGCTATGCAGTTCAGGCTGGCCTTGAGCTCACTTTGTAGTCCAGGCTGGTCTTGAACCTGCAACGATCCTCCTGCCTCAGCCTCCTGAGTGCTGGGATTACAGGTGTGTGCCACCATGCCCGACAGCATTAACTGTTCCTTTTATTTATTTATTTTTTTTTTGGTTTTTCTCCAGTACTGGGAACCAAACTCACGACCTTGCGCTTGCCAGGCAGGCGCTTTTGCCGCTGAGCTAAATCCCCAGCCCCTAACTGTTCCTTTTAATAAACCATCAGACATCAGCAATACAGTACGGTTATCCCAGCTATCTATATATATATATATATATATATAGTCTTAGAACTTTCTTTTTCTTTCTTTTTCTTCTTTTCCCCATCCCAGTTCCTTCCTTTGCACAATTTCTTTCCCTTTCATATTACCTATTGTACATCTTGGGTTTTATTTACTCTTTCATGTTCTTACACTATGGAGGCAATATGATCACTGGTGTCATTTCTAGGATAAACACTGACATCATTAACTACATAATATGGTCAGTGCTGATCACTTTCCCTTAATCACCTCTTGCTGTTTTAAAAATATGAATTGTGAAAAGTTTTGGTTGGGTGTAGTAGTGCACACCTGCAATCCCAACACTCTTGGAGGCTGAGACAGGAGAACTGCAAATTAGAGCCCAGCCCTAGCAATTTAGCAAGACTTTGCCTGAGAATAAAAAATCAAAAAAGGCTGGGGTGGAGGTTAGCAGAAAGGACCTGGGTTCAATCCCCTGTACTAAAAAAACCACGTTTTTGATACGCAGATTTGTACCAGACACAGGATTTTGATCTTGAATATTTTTAAAAACCTACCTTTAAAATCTAACACTAGCGGGGCATAGTGATGCATGCCTGTAATCCCAACATTTGGGAGTCTGAGGCAGGAGAATCACTGAAAATTTGAGGCCAGCCTGAACTTCATGCTGAGACCCCATCTCAAAACAAACAAACAAACAAACACACACACACACACACACACACACACAAAAACCACTAATAATAGAGGCCAGGCATGGTGGCACCTGCCTAAATCACAGCACTTGAGAGGCTGAGGCAGGAGGATCACCACCAGTTTGAGGCCAGCCTGGGCTACATAGTAAGACCCTGTCTCAGCAAACTAAAACAAAACAAATAATAGGTCAAAGTATATTTAGAAGGATAATGAACAAAATGAACTCCTGTTTCCCTGTTACTTGTATTGTAAAGACAGTGTAACATGTGGCCCCTCCCCAGGCAGGTGTCACCCTGTCCACCTCTGCCACTCTTTCTTCATGCAGGCCTGGCACTGTGCCCACCATGCACCTGTTGAGGCCCCCAGGGTCCTGCCATTCTCACTTAGGCTCCAGACCTCTTTTCCCCTAAGCTCAGTGGTATGGGCTTTCCTGCTCTGCCCACGCCCCATATCTGGGTGCTGGTTCCACCCACCTGCTCCCCAGACCCCTCTGGCCTTTCCTGCTGCCTCCACATCTGCCTGCACCATAGCCCAGCTGTTGGGCCTGGGCTCCTGTCATCAGTTGGTCCTCCCATATCTGGATCTTGGGCAGCCTCTGCACCCCACTGGACATAGGCAGCTTCCCTGGTTCCTATGTCCAAGGCCTCCCTGCTGTTACACCCGGGACACTGTAGGCCTCTGTCACCTCACCTAGGAAAGGGATCCTGGTGCCCTGGGTCTGAGCTTGGCACCACTCGCTGGGCTTTCCTGTCCCCCAACCTGCTGAACACACCCTCCAATCCCTGTGTCACTACCAGGTGGGGCTCTGGGGTGCGGAGTGCTGCCCAACCTGCTTGCCTGGATCTCAGGCCTGCTCTAGTGGGTGCTGGTGTTTGGGGCTGCCCCACGCTTCTAAGAATAGCTCCTGATGAGAAGCATCCTATTGGCCAGAGCCATTGGTCCGGGGGTGGCTACAGTGCCAGCCAATCAGAGCCCTCCTCAGGTTTGTCCAAGTGCAGGCGACAGAAGGACAGATGTCCTTGAAGACTCTGCAGCCCCCGTTTGCTGGGAGACGTCTCCTTCGCACATGGGGCTGCCTGCAGCAGGAGGGACGGTGTCCAGAGGGGATGGATGGCAGACCTGGAGCACCCTGGTGCCTTCCTCCCCGTCCTGAAGACCCCAGACAACCTGGTGCCTCCACAACCCTGAGACCTAATGTGGCTGCTGCTTCCAAGTCCCTTTTGCTGAAGCTGAGCTCTGGTAGGCTCGCAGTTTGGTGAAAATACAGGGAAAATCCTACCAGGTACCAAAATAGTTCAGTGGGCCAGCTGAAAAGGGCCGAGGCCCCTAGTTGTCACTTCCAGACCTGGGTCCCTAATGTGGTGGCCTTGTCCTCTGCAGCCACAATGCACCTCCAGCCTCACACCCCAGCTCTCCTGGCACTGGACAGTGTCAGCTCAGGCGTGACGGTAGCAGGTCCCTTCAGAATCATTCTCTCACCTGTGTTTTCAACCACCCTGTAGTGGAGGCAGGGCAGGCTTCCTTAGCCCATCTGGTGGATGAAGAAACCGATGACTGGGACAGGGACAGACTGGCTCCTGAATACCCAGGAGAGCTGTATACTTTGAATGTCAAGCATAGGAACCATAACAAGCTACACAGATATATGTTTATGTGAAATCCACATCCCAGTAGGAATGAGTTTCAAATCCTCCCAGGTAAATCCAGCCACTGGCTTGGAGGCAGAGATCGCCCCTGCCTATAGATGACATTGCAGGGCCCCCTCACCCTGCTGTCACAGCCCTGGCCCTCAGCTGCCCTCCCTTCTCTTGTTGAGAAGGGGGGTTGCCACTCTCCCTGGCTCCCCACTGGCCTCCACTGGCTCCACCCTGCCCACCTGTACCCAGGGTTCCTAGGCGAGCCCTCCTGGGGTGGGTGGGTGCTGTCCTGGGGCCCTGGGCTTGTGTCTATCTCTGCCTCCATCTCTTTCATGCCCACAGTGGCTTAGTTTAGGACAAGCCACACCTACATTCCCGGCTGGGGAGTCCCAGTTTATAGTCAGAGAACAGAATTTCTCTGACAGATGGGCTGGTCTTCTGCCCCGTGAGAATCATAGTGTTCGATTCCCGGGACCTGCTCCTGCCAACTCCTGCCCGCTCAAGTCTGCTGCCTCAAGAGGGGTTCCGGTGGCCCGGCTCCTAGTTCCCTCAGACACCCCAGCTGCCCCTCCCGACCCTACCTGGGGTGAGGACTTTTCTCTGTAATTGAGGGAACCACCGTATGCTGTGTTGCGGGGGGAAGTGAGCAGAAGCTTCTGGGCCTGCAGGGGAGGGGTCACTCTTCTGAGGGCCCCAGGGCCACCAACACTGATATAATGGGGCCACGCAACGGCCCCAGCGGGCCTCGGGCGCTGGTTGGGCTCCCTGCTGCCGTTAGGGAGGTGGTCGCTAGGGACGCTGATGTTGCCTGGGAGTCCTTAGGGAAGCCCAGGTTGCCAGGGGCGGGGCCAGCGCTGGGCGGAGTCAGTCGGTGTTTGCTACACGCCCACAGCATGTCCTCCGGGTCAGGAAATCTGCGGTGTGGGCTGTGGGTTACCTGGGAATGTGCGTTTTTGTTTGCGGGGCCGTGTTCAGGATCGCTTGGGCTCCTTCCCAGAGAAGGCCCAGAAAAGCCGGTGGGGAGGTGAGTGAGGAAGGGCTAACCCCACCTATCCGGGACCTCAGGGCGAGGCAGGAAGGAGCCTGCGCAGCTCCCACAGCTCTCGGCTGGCTTCACTCCTGCCGGCCCCAGTACTGGGCAGACGAACAGACCCCAGGAGCGGCTGTGAAAAGGAACAGTGCTCCTGGTGGAGGAACTGTTCCCGGACCGCGCAGCTTCCTTGAACTTCAGCTCCAGGTAACTGTTACCTAGTGCCACAGACCCTGCGGTGTCTCATCAGTAACGCTGGGCACCACGCTCACTCTGATGGCCACCCCAAGGGCCACTGAGAGCTTCTGTTGCTGCCAGCTCCACAAATCATCCGTCTCAGGAAGATGCCGCAAGGACGTGGCTTCACTGGACAGCAAGCACCCGGGGTCCGGCGAATCCTGGCCTTGGAGACACCCCTTGAGCCTCTCCTATTCCCAGCAGCAGTGCTTCGAGCCGGTGACCCATTCTGCAGGGAGGAGGCTGACCACCACCTTGGCTTCCTCCACTCAGGCAGGGCATGTGCTGGGCAGCTTGTTTCAAAGGTGCATAGTTGCCTTGACCCTGTCACCAGCCCCAGCCCCTTGCTGTCCCCCCGCCTGCAATGCTCTTCCCTGACTGCCCAGCTCAGCTGCCCACCCCGCCTCACCCTCCTGCTTCCTGGTGTCACTGGACTGTCCCCGTTGGACACCACCTCTTCACTGTCCCACTCCACCCCAGCAAGTACCACTGGGCTCAGCAGCTGACCAGCTCCGCTGCTCAGTGGACTGACCAGGCAGTGGGGCTGAAATAAAACTCTGGACTTCTGGGTCACTGTTAACAAGGCTGTTGACCTAGGAGGGTCTGCCCATCTGCTGTGATCTCCACCTGACACTTCCGGAGCCTCTGTGGGTGCTCAGTGGCAAGGACCGTCCCAAAACTCTGCCAGTGAGGTGGTCCAGATCTGGATCCCGCAGGCTTTTCCCTGGTGTGAGTGGTCACACTGGTGATGGTGCCCGTGTCATGGTGGGAGGGCAAGGCCCACTCTTTTTAAAGAAAAAGAACCTTCCAGAGCCTGCTGTCCTCTGTGCAGTCCACTTTAATAAGCAGTCATAGCCCTGGTAGTCATGTTTCACATTTGTTGTGAGTGACGCTTCTGGGCCACTTCTGTGTCCCCAGTCTGTCTCCTTGTGTCAGGTGACAGGTGGTCTCCTTCGGCTCAACAACTGGGCCTCTGGGAGGTCGTGGGGCTCCTCCAGGGCGCCAAGTGCTTAGTCCCTGTAGGTCCCTGGAGGGCTAGGGTCAGAGCTGTTTGAGGGCGTAGGCTTGGGCTGCACTAAGGGCAGCATCCAGGTCCACGGCGCTTCCGGTGCCCTGGGCCACCACACGCGAGCCCCAGGCCTTGCCTCCCATGGGGCTGCACACAGCCAGGGCCCAGGCCTCTGCTGTGAAGGTAGGTGTGGTGCCCTGGAGATAGAGACAGAGACAGAATCAAAGGTAGGTGCTGTGGAGTAGCCCCAAGGCGGCCCCTCCAGGGAGATGTCATAGGGACTGGGCTGCTGAGCAGCTTTGCAGGGATGCAGGGAGTGGGCCCTCGGCAGGGGTGACCAGGGGATCTTACAGTGCCTTCTGAGTTGGAGAGAGCTGTCTTTAGGGACAAGGAGCTTGCCCTGTTCCTGGCCTGGTCAGCCTCACAGGTCTCCTCTCCCTGCCCCAGTCCCTTGTCTGGCGGGGGTAGAGGTGTGGAACCCAAGGCCTCCAGCCATGGTGCTGTGGAGTAGCATTCACTCACCTGGGCCACCTGGCAGGCACACAGGATGCTGCCTACTGGCTGGGGGCTGAGGAGGAGCACGGAGGTGCCTGGGGCATGCTCACACAACTGCCGCACCACCTTCACCAGCACCTGGGCAAGGGAGGGCATGGGTGACCCACGGCCACCTCCCCCAAGGACACATCCCCTCCTCCAGCCTCTCCACCGGCACAGACCGAGAGGGACTCAACAGAGACGGTGTCCACGATCAGAGGGCCCTTTTTATGCCGCCTCAGCAGCTCCTGGGACTTCTCAGCAGCCTGCAGAGCGGAGGGACACAGAAGGCCAGGCTGAGAGGCTGATCTGGCATTGCTCCCATGCCAGCACCCAAACCCAGCCCCGGCCCTGCAGTCCCTCCCCAGCGGGGCCATGCCTCTGAACAGAGGTGGCGGGCTGGCCTTGCTGGCTTCTATCTCAGAGGGATGTGGGGACCAGCCCTGGTAATGGTCTTGACTAGCAAAAAGAAAGGAGGCTGCCACCCACGGACCACCTGTCCCCTCACCTGACCGAGCTCCAGCTTGCGGATAGTGGTGTTGGCGCGGCGCTGCAGCAACTTCAGCCTGGCCTGCAGCTCCCTCCGCTGCCACTGGGGCATCACAGCACCGTCCACGGCCTGCGGCCAGGGGTAGCAGTGTCATCCCTGCCCTGTCCCCGAGCTACTCTGCAGAGGGTGGTGGGTGACTCCATGCTGGGCTGGCCCTCACCTTTGTGAGTCGTCCTACATCCTTGGACAGACGCTGAGCCTCCTCGAGGTGCCTGGTGCCCTGACTTAGACGCTCTGTGGCTGCATCAAACTCCCTGGCCAGGTTCTCGCCCACCTCTCGGGCCTGTGGGGTAAGGACAGAACAGTCAGGGCCACCCTAGGACAGGGGCTTGCAGTCACTGCTGGTCAAGGGCAAGTCAGAAATGTGGAACAGTCAGGCATGATCACGGCACCAGCACTGAGTACTGTAGCAGACATTCACACCAAGTGTGAACAGCGGGGCTCCCACCTCAGGTGGGGCCAGTGTGCAACACCAACGCTGGGTCTGCTGCTGGGCATCCCCGAGCCCGGCGGTGTCTGCAGTGTGTGTGGCCCCTGCCCCATCCACACCCAGAAGCCTCCTGGGCGCACTGGTGTGCTGACCTGCTGGGCCTGCTCCCCGGTGACGGCCAGCAGGCGGGTGGTGCCCTTGGTGAGCTGGCACTCTCCAACAATAACCAGGTCCCCCACAGCCCCTGTGCGAAGCAGGTGCCTGTGGGCAGGAGGAGGAAGTCAGGGGATGAGGAAGTAGGGAGAAGCCTGGGTCCCAAGCCAAATGCTGGTGGCTCCACAGACCAGGAAGGGTACAGTCCAAGGTAGCAGGGGGTGACTCACGTCCCACAGCAGAGCTCCACGGAGGCCTGCAGTGCAGCCTGGGACATGGGGTCCAGGGCACAAGCCACAGGTACCCCAACCGACACCACACGCACAGGGTCTGGGTACACCTGTAGCGGAGAGGCCGGGCTGTAGTGACCCGCAGAGGATGGGGGCCTTCTGGCTATGTCAGGGGCAGTCGCTGCCACCAGGAGGGTGGCCCTGCTCACCTCATCAAAGGAGCGCAGGCCAGGGACGCAGGTGGTAAGCGCCAGGGGGACCTCCTCCATGTACACAGGCTTATCCTGCTGCACGGCCTCCTGCACGGTGCCCTCCACTGTCCTCAGCTGCTCTGGGGTCAGAGGGGCCTGGGGTGGAGGGGGAGAATGACAGCATCAGCCCCGTACATGTCACTCTCAATGTCCCGGGCACTGTCCCCAGGTCCCAGAGCATGGCTGGCATGGGACAGGAGCTCTGTAAGCACAGGTGGGGCAGAGGGCTCCAAGCCACTTGCAAGAGGGGCCGATGGGAAGCTGCAGGCCTTCACTGGGCACCAATCACTTGGCAAGAGACACCAAGAGGAGGCTTGTCCTCAAGGAGCTTAGATGGGGTGGCTTGGCAGGGGGAATGCAGGAGGGGGCTGTGGGCACAGAGCAGCCAGGTACCACAGGGCCCGACGGCTAGATGTACTCGGAGGCCAGGAGATGGGATGGGAGAAAAGGCGAGTGGCTGGGTCTGAGCAAGGCTGGCTTGGGGACAGCAGGAACAAGAAAGCCAGCGGCTGGCGGTGAGGGGCACCACACAGCAGGGCTGCAGGAGGCCGCCATGGCTAGCCTGACCCCTTACTGACACGAAGAATCTGGGAAAGGGGCTGTCGGAAGGTCACAGAGACCGAACGGCAGTGCCGGGCCCTCAGCCTGGTCACTCCTGCCTCACAACACTGGGCTCACCTGGGTGGCCACGTCGAAGCGCAGCCTTTCGGGGTTGAGGTGGGAGCCCCGCTGCTCCGTGCTGGGTCCCAGAGTCTGCCTCAGTGCCCAGTTCAGCAGGTGGGTAGCCGTGTGCTTTTGCATGCAGCCCAGACGCCAGGCCTAAAATGCTCCTGTCACTCAGGGGCCTGGGTGGAGGTGGGGTAGGAGGGTGAACAGGCTGCAGGGAATCAGGCCTACATGGTGGGGCTCTTACCTCATCCACGTGTAGCTGCACCTGGTCCCCCACCTGCAGGTGCTCGGGGGCCAGCACCTCGTGCAAGACAAAGCCTCCCCAGACCTGGGCCCGGGCCACGGGGAACAGCACATCCTAGGAAGGACAAGGCAGGACACCAAGCGACTGCTTGTAGCTTCCCTGTCCCTGGCCCCGCATGACCCCAGCCTGTTCCCAAGGACATTACCCTGGTGTGGAGGACACTACCTGTTGCCCTGCCCGCACCAGATAGCCCCGATCTGAAGCCTGGCCGCCTTGTTCAGCGTAGAAGTTGGTCTTGTTCAGAAGGAGACCGCAGCGCTGGCCTGGCCCCACGGTGGCCACAGCAGCCCCCTCCTCTGTGTACAGCTGCAGCACCTGGGCCTCACAGGGGCCGAACTCTGCAGAGCGCAGGACGGCTGTCAATGCCAAGTGGGTACCAGGGACATGGCCCATGGGTCTCCACAGCGAGCCCTGGAGGTGACCCTGGCAAGGCTGTGCCCTGAGGAACGATCCCGGCTCTCACCATAGTCCCCAGTGGGCTGTAGGGAGTAGCCGTACTTGGGGCTGTCATCGGTGGGGGGCACCCCACGGTGCTGCAGCTCCGCAAGCGCATGGACGTCAAGGCGCAGTCTCTGCTCCTGAGCTGGTTCAGCCTGGTAGGCCCGAAGCTGCAGAATGGGAGTATGGGGCACAGGTGCCTGGAGGGCTGGTCCCTGTTGGGCTGGCTGGAGCAGCAGCCGTGGGCCAGGCACCCTGGGACCAGGCCTCTTGCCTCTGCTGTTGCCAGGCCCCTCTCCAGGATGCTGAGCTGCCCTATCCTCTGCTGCTTCCTTGCAGGCTGTGGCAGCACTGGAGGCTCCGTCCAGTCATCTCACAGAGCCCAGTGCCAGGCAAGGGGCCGACATAACATGTGTCCCTGCCCATACCTGGGCCTCCTCCTCCACCAGCTGTGCCAGCCCTGCAGAGTCCAACTGCACACCCTTCTCCGCCAGCATCAGCTCCACTAGGTCCAGGGGGAGCCCCAGGTCCCCAGCCATCGACAAGGACCAGGCCACCTCAGCTTTGGGGAAGGAAGACAGGGTGTTAGGGCTAGGCAGAGGGAGATGAAGGAAGGGGAGAAGAGTGAGGGGCTAAGGCCAGGGCTCTAACCATGTAGGCAGATGCCACAGGAAGGGGAGTGGCGTGAGTGTGGGGCAGGGAGAGGAGGCAGGGTGGCTGGGAGCGTGGATGGGGTCAGCAGGGCGGAGTTCACACTGCACACAGCACTGTGTTGGAAGGAGAAGACTCTGGGGGTCAGGAGATACGAGCTGGCCTGGAGCCCCCTCCTGTGCCTGGCCATGCCTGTGAGTTCCTCACCTTAGCCAGGTCCCCGACTCACCAGGGAACAGATCAGAAGGCCCCAGACGCTTCAGGGTGCGGTCGATGATGCGCCGGCCCCGCTGCAGGGAGTCCAGGAAGGCCGCCTCATCCTCTGACACCAGCCTGGCTATCTGGCCAGACAGGAAACAGTGGAGCTAGTCCCCTGAGGGGGAACACCTCTCTCCACGGCTCTCCCATCCCCAGGGGTTCCTACCTGGGCTGAGTTCCTCTGCAGTTCTGGATATGCATCTCCCTAGGGAAGGACAGGTGACAGATAACAGCCCATTCCACCTCTGCCAGGCTTCCCTAAGGATGTCCTGGAGGCTCAGTTGCTCTGAGGGACCCACATAGGGACAGTGGGGTAGGGATGCAGGCAGAAGGGTCCCAAGGTCACATGATAGCTAGCCTGAAGAGGGGGCTTCCTGGAGCGTCCCTGCCTCTTGTGAGCAAGTATGGTTTTGTCAGTCCATGACAGGTACCGGACTGGACACTTAGGACCAGGGGAAGGGGAACCCCATGTGCCCAGGTCAGGGGCACTTTGGGGCCCAGCACTGGGCTCCTGCACCCCAGGCAGGAAGCTCTGCCCTTACCAGTATTTCCACTACCACCGGCACCAGGCTGCCTAAGAGGCCAGGTGGTGCCCGAAGCACCTCCATGGAGAACCGCACAGCTCGACGGAGAATCCGGCGAAGAACCAGCCTACAGGAGGTCAGAGCCGAGGGTGAACCCCACAGCCAGTGTGCAGTCAGCCTGCCCCATGTCTCCACCCACCCCTCCTCTCCTAGCAACCTTGCAGCCCCTGCCCTTGCTGTGGCTCCCGAGACTCACGGTGCACCTGACATCCCCGGGGAGACACCATCGGCGATGCAGACACTGAGTGTGCGGATGTGGTCGGCCACCACACGGTAGGCTGTGTCTGTGTGTCCCTCATCCGCTGCCCCCACCCGGCCCAAGTAAGGGGGTGCCCCACAGCCCTGCAACGTGGGAGAAGAGACAGGGCCGATGGTGATGTTGGTGTCCTCAGAGGGCTCAGCCTGGCCAAGGCGACGATCACATCTGTGACTACTTGCTGGATTTCTACTGTCACAACGGTGAGTCCTTGAAGACCATGGCATTCATCCTGAAAACAGCTCCTTGAGAGGCATTATTATCGTTGCTTTCAAGAGGAGGAAAGTGAGGCTCAGAGGAGCAAAGCCAGGCAGGCTGCAGCACTCGTGAGAAGCAAGTGTGACGTGGGCAGCAGGGGGCCTGATGCTGCTCCTCTGGGCTGGGTCCAAGCTGTGTGCGCAGCAGCTTCACCTGTCCCGCTTCTGCCCCGCTTCATCACATCGGTGAGTGTCAGATCCCCAGCACATCCTTCACTTCTCCCTCCAAGACGGCTCTCAGACCAACCTGCTTCTCTTGGCCTCCCCTGAACTTCTTCACCCGTGCTCTGTTGCCTGGCATGATAACAGCCTCCCAACCGGTTCCCCACTCTTACTCCTGTCTCTCTTGGGCCCCCCATGCACAGCAATAGGGACAGGTTCCCCAAGTGCTCAGGGACCCTGCCTGCCTCCGGGCCAGCCTCCTCCCGCATCCAGGACAAAGCTCCACACTGCACTTCAGGGGCCATGGCGTCTGGCTTCTACTTTCCTTTCAGAGGCAGTTTGCAAAAATGGCCTGTCCTGAGCTCCTGAGCACATGCCACTCTGCAGTGACTTCATACAGTTGTTTCCTGTCTCAGGATGGAGTCTGCTTCTTCCTCTCCAGCCTGGGGGGCCCTGTGACTTACTCCGGCCCACAGAATACAGTGGAAAGGGCACTGTCTTGGGCCCAGCACTAGGCTCCCTGGGGCCCAGGGAGGAAGCTACATCTTTACCAGCATTTCTACCACCACCGGCACACATTCCTCTTACATGTCCCTCTAGCCACTCCCTCACCTCATGTATCGCATGGAGCAGTGGGGAGAAGAGGTCAGTGTCGTAGGTGGAGTGCCTGCCTTGTAGCACGGCCACCAGCCTCTCCAGGCCCATTCCCGTGTCCACGTGCCGCTGGGGCAGGGGCTGCAGACTTCCGTTGGCCTCTCTGGCAAGGGACAGTGTGCAAGGGGAGGGTGAACCAGGATTAGGGGGTGAGGAGGGTGCAGCAGAGAAATGAGGGATCCCACAGGGCTGACAGTGGAAGGAACCAGGCGGGCACCTCCCTCATACCCAGTGGCAAATGAAAAAGGCCATGGGTCCTGTCCTTTATCATAAAGGGCCAATCCCACCCTCACACCTGTGGGGCCCTCGCCTGGACCCAGATGCCACCTACTGCACAGAATTCTTTGCCTAGAGAGTCATGTAAGGCCAGAAGAGTCTTACAGATCATCAGGTTCAACACCATCACACTCATGTAAGAGGCCAGAGAGTCACAGTGACTGTGCGTCACGGCCAAAGGCTAGGATTCAATCAGTTATTATCTGAAAAGTGTTTAGAAATGCGCCTGACACATACTAAGTGTCCTTCAGGTTTTTGTGTTTGTTTTTTTGCAGCGCATGGGATAGAACCCAGGCCTCATGCATGTTAGGCAGGTGCTCTACCCTGAGCTACATCCCAGGGCTGTTTGTTTTATAACTGCATCAGTCTGCTGAGCGCTACCTTTTTCACTTCTAGCCAGGCACTGTCCTATCTCAGCACTCATTACCTGTTGTGCTGCATGAAGACCAGATTCCAAAGCTCCACCAGCTGAGGAGCTCCCATCCCACCGGCCAGGTCATAGTGGATCTCAGTACAAGGCCCACAGGGGCCAGTGTCCCCCATCTCCCAGAAGTTCTCTTGTGGTCCAAAAGAAAGCACACGATTGACAGGCACCCTGGGGAGAAGGCCAAAGAAGTGGCAGGAGAAGGACTGATTCAGAAGCTGGGATTCCCTCTGCCATGAGAGCCCCATCCAAGTACCCACTCAGGAAGAGGAAAAACAGGGCTGCCCCACGGCACCCTGGGACTTGCTGAGGCTCTGAGGACTGGTGCCAGGTCTGTTTCCAGCCTTCCTGCCCTCTAGGATTGGGCTGAGGAGAGGGGTGACTTACCCTAAGCTGAGCCAGATGTCCCTGCTCTCCAGATCTGGGTCCAGTCCTGCCTTGGGATCACCACCAAAGTAGGAGACCCACAGCCTGTCTTCAGGGATCCCGTAGACTTGAGTCAGCAGTTCCCAGGCCATGCTGCAAGCCTCCTCCTGCAGTGGAAACCAGCTGGAGGCCATGTGTGTGCCAATCAAGCCACAGTAGCTCAGGATTCAGTTTAAGACAAAACTATGTCCAAGGCCCACCCTGTTTGTAGAACACCACAACCATTTCTGCCTCAGTGTCTTTTCCTGCCCAGAAAGCTTCCCTGCTCTCCTTTCAAGTTCCCCTTGTATGAAAATCCTCTGCCTACCCTGGCCTGGAGTGACCCTGGACTCCAGTTAACACCTTGGCATTGTTATTTGACCATTTTAAATGTACATCTGACCAGCCATTAGGCAGCAGGCACTTAACAGTCCAATCAGGGAAATAAGACGCATTCTTCTTACACATGTTCCTGTACCATTTTGCCCCTGCATCTAGAATGAGGCCCTGCTTGAGCTGGGAGCCTCACCTTGAAATATTCACCCCCGAAGGCCCAATTGCCAAGCATTTCAAAGAAGGTGTGGTGGGATAGGTCTCGGCCCACATCCTCCAGGTCGTTGTGGCGTCCTCCGGCCCTCACACACTTCTGGCTGTTGGCCACACGTCGGAAGCCAGCCATCTCGCTTCGTGGGTCCACAGTGCCCAGGAAGATGGGCTTGAACTAGGAGATCAGGAAAGGGGACAGGACATCTCAGTGGACAAGGGGGTCCCTGTTCAGAATGAAGGATGACTGTGACTCAGAGACTGCAGTGTCCTTCTGTTCTAGGGGGCAACCTTGGAGCCTGGGGTGGCCCTCTCTGGTGCGTGTGAGGCAGAGAAGGGGTAAATAAACCGTGAACCAGAGACCTGCTAGGGAAACAGGAAAGGTAAAAGGAAGAGGAAGAGGGATGGATGAGTGGCTGTGCTAGACTCCTCCATCTCACCTTTTAACCATACCCCAAACTTTCAGGGTGCAAAAAAGACTACAGGGTGCTAGGAACTGACCACAATAGCAGTATTTTGTGGGGAACTTGAGCAGCCTATACGTTACCTTCCCACCCATCTTTAATGTTCAAGTGAGAACCATTTAGAGAGGGTAGATGGTTGCTTAAAGTCACAAGCTTAGAGAACAGTACCTAGTACACAGGAGGTGCACGTTTATTTGATGTACAAGTTATTTAAAGATCAAAATCTTAGGACTGGAGATGTAGCGCAGTGGTAGAGCGCTTGCCTAGCCTGCGCGAGGACCTGGGCCCAATCCACAGCACAGAACGCATGTACGTATGCATACATGCATGAATAAATAAATGAATGCGTGCATGAATGCAGTCTTTCCCCCATCAGGATCTAAAACCCAATCCCTACCCACCAGTTTTACCTCCCGAACTCCGCCCCCAATAGCTTCACTGAATCACACGCAGCCCTCATTCCCCAGAGGCCTTGAGCCTCCCCGCGACCCCAATCTCGCGGCGCCTCTCTGCCTCTCCTGAAGTTCGCGGGCTCGCCCCGCCCACCTGGTTCATGCCCGCGTTTACGAAAAGCAGGCTGGGGTCGCCGCGCGGCCGCACAGAAGCAGAGGGCACCAAGCGGTGGCCATGGCGATCGCGAAAGAAGCTCAGGAAGGCGTCTCGCACAGCCGAGCCTCGGGTTGGAGGGGGCTGGGTGGACAGCGGCCGTCGGCAGCAACCTGGCCATGAAGGCGAATTTCGAACGGCCCACCTTAGCCACCCGGCGACCCCTGTGGCTGATGCCGCCATCTTAGCTCCTGGCGGCGGCTTCGCGGCGTCAGAGAGCGACGTAAAGGGAGGCGCGCGTTGCCTACAGTGGCCCCTGGCGACGGGAGGACTCACCGCAGCCTCACCGCTGGGCGGAAGTGATTGGGAAGGATGGGGACGAAGAGGTCGGGGTAGCGCAGCGCTTTTATCTCCATTATCCGTTTAGCCTTAAGCAGATACGCAAGAGCCTGTTGTGTGCTAGGCACTGCTTCAGGCGCTTAGGTTACATTAGTGACAAAATTAATAAACTCCCTGCCCTCTGAAATCTATATTCTAGCAGTAATTGTTAGGCTGATTTTGCAAAGTTTTAAGTGGGATTGCAGGGAACAGACGTGGGTTAAGGTGTGTGTGTGTGTACCAGGCCACTGGAAGAAGGTAGAGAATGCCAAGGGAATATCAGTGTTCATTCAAGAGTCATTCAGCAGAGATTTAGTGCAGATCGCTATGTGCCAGGCACTGTCGTAGGCACATGCCAGTTCCCTCTGCACTTGGCATTGGAGAGAGTCCTTTCGTCCTTAGGGAGCCAGAGCCTGCCTGTCGGAGACACAGATGCCAAATAGCATCTGCTGCATTATTAATTGCTTAATAACATTTGGTCTTTTAATTTGGCTGGGGATAAGAGAGAATCCAGGTCGTCAGGTTAGGACAAAGCTGGTGGCTAAAAACAGCAAAGCTCCCAGGGGCCTCCCTGTCCTAAGGTTTGTGTGTTTTGCTTTAGGGGAAAACACCCACCCACTTCTCCTTCTGTCTTTCTCTCCATGGTAACAGGTGTGACCTCAAAGCCAACACAAGCCCTGCGAGTGCAACCAATGTCCTGGATCTTGCAGTGCTGAGTTCTGCCCTCGGTCTGGACAATTAAAACCAGATTGGGCCAAGGTCAAAGCCCAGTAGCAGCGTCGGGGCTGAGGAAAGCATGATCTGAGAGAAGGCTCTGGCCACCATTCTTTGTGTGTTGGGTTATTTGGAGTAGTTTGAAGCACAGTTTCCTTGTGGAACTGTATAGTCTATTTTGGACTTGCGTTGCTATAGCAATAGAGAATTCTCCACTTTGTATTCTGACAGACCATCTTGTCTATACCAGGATCCTGTTTCTCCCCTTATCCACCGTTAAAGGTGTCTTGAAAGCATGTTTTGGTTTTTCCGGTGCTCCTGGAACAGGAACTTAAAGGCAGATGGGGATTTCTGTGAGACTGATGACCTTGGGAAAGTCGAAAAATTCTTTCCCAAGTTGAGCTGGGACTGTTTCGCCAGATAGATACAGCAGGGCCTCTCCGCAGTACAGTGTCAACGATGTCAACCCTTTTTCAGATGCTTCCCGGAGTCTTTGTGTTATAGTAGGACCTCCGTGTTTTAGACTACCCTGGATCTAATGTGCCATGATTTTTTTTAAAAAACATCTTTATTGCCGGGGATATAGCTCAGCGGCACAAGTGCCTGCCTGGCAAGTGCAAGGTCCCGAGTTTGATTCCCAGCACTAAAGGAAAAAAAAAAAAAAAAACTTTATTGAAATATAATTTATACTGTGCAATTCACCCATTTAAAATGTACGGTTAAATAGCTTTTATTGCATTCACAGAGTTGTGCAACCATTACTACAATCTCTTTTAGAACATTTTCATCATCTCCGAAAACATCCTTGCATTCTTTGGCCATTAACTGCCAATCCTTCCATCCCTTCTAGCCCCAGGCAACCATTATTGAGCTTTCTCTGTTTATGTAGATTTGCCTGTTTGGACATTTCATGTAAATGAAATAATGTAATATGTGGTCCTTTGTGGCTAGTTTCTTTCACTTAGCATAATGCTTTTTCTCTCTTTCTGTCTCTTTCTCTCTCTCTCTCTCTCTCTCTCTCTCTCTCTCTCTCT